GGAGGAAGATAGGAAGAGATGGTGAAAGAGAGGGGGAGAGAGGGAGGGAGGAAAAGAGAGAGGAAGAGAGGGAGAGAGAGAGGGAGGGAGGAAGATAGGAAGAGAGATGGAGGAAGATAGGAAGAGGGGGGAGGAAGAGGGGGAGGAAGAAGGAAGAGATGGAGAAAGATAGGGAGAGAGAGAGAGGAAGATAGGGAGAAAGAGAAGAAGGAAGATAGGGAGAGAGAGAGAGAAAGAGAGGAAGAGAGAGGGGGAGAAAGGAAAAGACAAGAAGAGAGTGAGAGCGAGGGAAGGAGGAAGATAGGGAGGGATTGAGAGAGAAAGAGAAGAGAGGGAAGGAGGGAGGAAGAGAGGGAGAGAGAGGGAGGTGGGATGGAGAGGAGAGGAGAGAGAGAGAGCTGTTCTGTTTTACATCGATGGTGGAAGATGCGAGTTGTAGTGCAAGATACCCAGCCGAGAGGCTAGTGGAAGCGACCAGGTGTGCTTCAGGTGCTGAGGGTCTTTCTTCCTAAAGTGACCTTCCTTCTCTACCTGTGCTGAAGGAGGCAGCAGGACTGAGACACACACACACACACGTACACACAAACACATACTTCCTTCGCTCTCGCCTCCAGAAATCCCCATCTTCCACATCCTCAATGCCCGCATCACCTTTGGCAACCTGAACGGCTGCGACGAGCCGGTGGTCTCCCTCCGCACTACGGGCAGCCCCGGCAGCGATGCCCCCTCGCCCGGGAGTGACCGGTCCAGCATTAGCAGCTCAAGCTCCCTCGGTAAGTGGGGAGGGGGGGGGGGACAGACACACGAGGCAAAGGGATGGGTGGGTGGGGAGCAGTGGTGAAATGCTACCCGGTTTGGCCCGGTTCCCCCAAACCGGTAGTTAAAAAAAAGGCCTCCAACGATCAGCTGAGCGGGGAAAGAAGAGCCAATCCTGTGCTTTTCTGTTCTTTATCCTCACGGCTGATGGCCGCGGCAGAGTCTCAGCTGGTGTTTGGGAAGCCGCGCATGCACGTATTAGATGCATACGCCATGCGCAAAGTGCACGATCACCGAAGCAGTTGGGAAACAGGTAGAATCCCACCACTGGTCGGGAAATGCCCTGCAAAACCAGGTGTGGATTCGGACAGCTGTCACCGCAAGTCAAGATGGCATCACCGGCATTTGATATATTTATTAAATTGATCCGCTGCCCATCTCATTTGTCCAAAGGGACTGCGACGACCCAAAAGGGCGTGGCACAAAAGCAACCAAGTCACAAAAGCAGGTAATGACCCTTTAATTCCTCCAACTTGGCCCTCAATGTCCAGTTATCCTCAGCTGGAGAAAAAAAACTCTCCCAAGAACAGTTTTTTAAAAGGGAAGAAATTCCGTCCGAACCCAAAGTACATATAAATTCTAAATAAAAAACCAACACAAACCACGCTGCAGCAATTAACTGGACAGGGCAGGATAAGGAACTGCAGACTTCCAAAATATAACGAAACACACAGTTGTGGGGATGCCAGAACTTGACAAGATAAGACTTGACAAACCAGCAAGGTGCTGTGCACAAAACACCCTTTTTAAATCCTGTTTTCCCAGCTGCAGCCCATGAAGGGGATCAGGGCCCTTTCCTCCCCCGTAACCCACATTGCTCCCTTATCCATTCCTCTCTGCGTGCCCTAGGATGAAGAGGGGGTGGGCCTGGGTCTTCCTCTGAAGGCCCAGCCGGACTGTGCCCTTCCCCCGTTTCCTCCACAGCCACCGAAGCCACACTCCCACTCCCTGTCAGCTGTTTCACCTCTCCGTCGGAATCAGATTCCAACAGGGGCATGACAGTGACTCTGGACTGTATGTATTTAGATGCTTGCTACAGGCAGTCCTCGACTTATGACCACAACTGAGCCCAGAATTTCCATGGCTAAGCGAGACAGTTGTTAGTGAGTTTGACCCCAGGTTAAGACATTTCTTGCCACAGTCGTTAAGCGAATCACTGTGGCTCTTTAAGTTCATAACACGGTTGTTTAAGTGAACCTGGCTTTCCCCATGGACTTAGCTTGTCACAAGGTCGCAAAAGGGGAATCACATGACCCCGAGACACTGCGACCATCATAAATATGAGTCACTTGCTAATAAATTTTGAACTTGTGACCAGGGGGATGCTGCAACAATCATAAGTGTGAAAAACGGCCGTGAGTCACTTTTTTCAGCGCTGTTGTAATTTTAAATGGTCACTAAATAAATGATTATAAGTTGCAGACTAACTGTAATTTTTCACATGGGTTACACATGTGTGGAAAAAAAGGGTGGCGCCCCCATTGCAGACCATCTCTGAAATTTTTTGATAAACAACTCCCCCTAGTATTTCTGGGCTCACCAACTAGGTGGGGGAGCCCCCTTGGAAAGGGTTACTGTTAGAAATTCTGTTTATATAAAGCACCACATAGAGCAAACAAAGAGAACAGTCACCATGTGTTTTACTGCTCATCTATATAACTGTTCCAGGAAACAGGAACCCCTACTTAGAACAAAAGAGCATAGAGTATACCATAGAGCCAAACTTATAAATACTGCCATCTACTGACTGAATACCACTGTAGCTGTTGCATAGAAATACAGTACATTCCAACAATGAATCCCAACAGTTATGGAATATTTCTTTAATTTTTTATTAATGATGCAGGCAAGGCTCGGTCACCCTGCCCAAAACACACCCCTTGGAAGGCTGGCCATGCGCTGAGATCATGTCGAGATGTTTTTATTTTTATTTTTAATATATTTTTATTAATTTTCATTTTTACATCGTAAAACATCATGGTATCAACAACGTTCTTGGCATCTATACAGGATTTCGGTTTAAATATCATAATACATTATATTGCATTTGTCTACTACTAAATAATATCTTTAGCTATAATTTCTAATCTTATATCTTTATATAATTTATAAAATTTTATTTTACATTCTTAAGGATTGTTTCAATTAACATTATTGTCTCACTTCTTGGTTCTGTTTGTTAACCATTTATACCAATTGTTCCAAATTGTAAAGAATTCAGAGTCACCTGAACATAACTGTCCTCTTTTAATGATGAACATCTGGGTGAAATCCAAATTCCCAGGTATTTCACCTTTTTTACTATTTGCAGTCCCATATTTTCTAATTCTACTTTCTGTTTTGTTGTACAGTTTTTGGCTATCATCTTAGTTTTATTTTTATTTATTTTAAATCCTGCCACTTCCCCAAATTTTTCTATTTGTTGCAACAATATTGGTCCCGAATTCATGGGATCTTCCATTATAAATACCAAATCATTGGCAAATGCCTGAACTTTATATTCCTCATTACTAATTTTAATTCCATGAATCTCTGGGTTTTGTCTGGTTGCAGCTAGCAACACTTCTAAAGACAAGATAAATAACAGAGGCGATATTATCATGCCTGGTCTCACTCCTTTTGCAATTTCAAAATCTTCAGTGTGATCTCCATTTAATGATACACTTGCTTTTGGATTTGAGTATATTTCTTGTAATGTTTTTTTTCCATATTAGTGCCAAAGTTCAGCTTTTTAATTTGATATAGCATGAATTTCCAATTGAGATTATCGAATGCTTTTTGCGCATCTAAAAAAATTAAAGCTGCCTGTTTTTCTGGGTGAGCTTCGTTGTATTCAATCGAATTTAGCACTGTCCTAATATTGTTTTTAATTTGTCTATTTGGCAGGAAACCATTCTGGTGTGTATGTATAAGCTCACTCGAAATTGGTTTCATTCTTTCTGCTAATATTGTCATGAATATCTTATAATCCGTATTTAGCAACGAGTTTGGCCTATAGTTCGCAATTAGTTGTTGATCGGTGCCATCTTTTGCAATAAAGGAGATGTATGCCCCGGACCAGGACCTCAGAAGTCTAGTTTGTGTTAATGCCACATTATATAGTTCCAGTAATATTGGCTCAAATATTTCAGATAAATTTTTGTATAGTTCGCCTGGTAGACCATCCGGGCGTGGTGTTTTATTATTTTTTTGTTTTCATATCGCCTTTTGTATCTCTGTTAATGTTATTTCTTTATTAAGTACTTCTCTGTTTTCTTCTGAGATTGTTCCCTCCAAGTAGTCGCTAATGTTTTCAGACTGTTTCCCTCCAAGTAGTATCTAATGTTTTCTTCCATAACTTTTTCTTGCTTATAAAGCTCGCTGTTTTTAATGTTCTTTCTGATATTTACTTTCCATTTTAAAAATGGGAAAATAAATATTGATTAATGATTTCAGAAGCTTTGAGAATTTGGTGATTAGGACAATAACGTCCCTGGGAGTCAGTAGCGATTTAAGAGAGATTGTAATTAAAAAGAAAAGTTTGAAGCTTCTTGGATGGCGGGAATAGCCAACAGTCTAGAAAATAGGCTGAAGATCCAGAGGGATCTTGACAGACTGGAACCCTGGGCCATATCTAATAAAATGAAATTCGACGTAGAGAAAAGGAAAGTCCTACACTTAGGCAAGAAAAACCCAAAGGACACATATAATAGACTGGGTGAAACCAGGCTCAATAGCAGGAACTGGGAGGGGGATCTCGGAGTCTTAGTGGACAACCAGCTAAATAGGAGCCGATGTTGTGCAGCAGCAGCCAAAAAAGCCAACGCAATCCTAAATTGCATTAACAGAGGGACACAATCCAGATCAAGGGAGGGACTAATACCACTCTATAAAGCCTTAGTAAGGCCACACCTTGAGTCCTGAATCCAGTTTTGGTCAGCACACTATAAAAAAGATGTTGAGTAGAAGTGTAGAGAAGAGCAACCAGGATGATGAAGGGGCTGGAGGATAAAACATACGATGGACGGTTGCAGGAACTGGGCCCGGCTAGTCTGTCTGTCTGTCCGTCCATCTGTCTATCATCTATCTTTCATCTCTGTGTCTGTCTGTCCGTCTATCCATCTATAGAGGGGGACTGGAGGCTAAGATATAAAATTAATGGTTGCAGGAATTGGGCGTGGCTAGTCTTGTCTATCTGTCATGTCTGTCTGTCTGTCTGTCTGTCTCTATCTATCTCTATCTACCTACCTACCTACCTATCCTTAGTAAGGCCACACCTAGAGTCCCGCATCCAGTTTTGGTCACTACAAACAAGATGTTGAGACTCTAGAAAAAGTGCAGAGAAGAGCAACTAAGATGATTAAAGGCCTGGAGACTAAAACATGCAATGAACGGTTGCAGGAACTGGACCTGCCTAGTCTAGGGAAGAGAAGGACCAGGGGAGACAGGAGAGCATCCTCCAATATTTGAGGGGCTGCCCCAGGGAGGAGAGAGGGGGGTCAAGCTATTTCCCAAAGCACCCGAAGGCCAGACAAGGAATAATGGGTGGAAAATGACCCAGGATTCAACCTGGAAATAAGGAGAAACTTCCTGACAGTGAGAACCATCCACCCATGGCACAGAAGTTGCCTTCAGAAGTTGTGGGAGCTTCATCCCTGGAAGCTTCCAAGAAGAGACTGGACTGCCATCGGTCAGAAATGGCGTAGGGTCTCCCGCTTGGGCGGGTGGGTGGGTTGGACTAGATGACCTA